ACTGTTTTTGATAATTAAAAAATACCAAAATATATTTTTGCTTGTAATTAGAGCGTCAGAAATAAAAATACATAAAAGGGGCATCTGTTGTCCCATCTGAGTTAAAGGGGGAATGCCACTTAAAATCGTGCAATCAACATGCTATAGTTTCTCATGCCTAATTTACGGTTTAAAGAAGGGAAATATAGTTAAATATCATTATTAATTTTATGTACACAGATTGGTCAAAGTGCTTTAAAAAAAAGGGAATTATATAAATTTTTTCAAATTTCACGCCATTTTCCATTGGCCGCCTTATAAGATAACCTCTTGGTGAGATAATAAGCAATGTTTTTAATTTCTTTAAAGAGGGTTTCTGTGGTCTTGAAAAAATTAAGTTTTGACAAATGTTTCACAAGGCTTTTTAAAATTTAATTCGTTTTTATTCATTTCACATTGATTATAGGATTTCAGCTCGATAGTTGTAACATAAGAACATATTTCCATAAATTTGGGGGGGGGGATTTTTTGGAGTAAGAACTAATTAAAACATTTTAATTCCTCCAACTTTTTTGCAGTGTGTTCCACGCGTTCCTTATATCCCTGCTTGTAAAGTGTTTTTATAAAATAATTACAATAACATGATTCGTATGTGTAGACAATTTCAATCAACTGCATTGAATCCTTGGTAGTACTTATGTCGCTTTCTAGGCTGTAATTAATATTAGTTTAATCCTTCTGAAAATTTTAAAGAAAAAAAAATGGTTACTTTCATCGGGAAATGACTCATACATGCGTGTTTTAACATAAAAACAAAGAAACATTTTATTGGTGGCTAAAATGATTTTCAAATATCATTATATATTTCATGATTTACTTCAAATTTTGAATCCAGTAATTGATTGAAATATTTTTTATTTATTTATTATTATTTATTTATCATTATTTTTTTATTTATTTGTTTATTTTACCTACACGGAAAATATACTGATGGTTACGATTGCAACTCTAAAATGCATTCTAAAACGTGGTGTACTTCGTCTATGAAAGAAAATTTATAAGATACTCCGTAAAATCTAAAATGAATTTTGATGCTGCAGATTATATTAAAGTAATTTTACGGGGTAATTTTCTGTTTTAACCTCACCCAAGGCTATACTGAAAGCATATGAGGATGATATTGATATTGTCTACTTATTGTAATAATATTGATAATAACATTTTATTACTTAAAAAATAATGTACATCAAATTTTTTACAATATACGAGAAATGTGTCAAACCTGTTTCGGAAGCCGCGAAACAGAATTATTCTACTTTTAAATACAACTAACTTCAGCTTGAATAATTCACTGTCTAGATCACAATTGTACGAATTTCTAGGAACTATGATAAACAGTTATTAATAGAATAATTCATTCGTTAGACACTGTAGAGAGGGATGCTTTGATGCACCAGCATTATACATAGCTCTATTTTTCTGGTGCCCTGGTTTCCTTGAAAAATTGACACGTTTGCTATTTGTTTCAATTGAAAATTTGTACTTTTCTTAAAAACGGCATCGGGGGAAGAAAAACGTTTTTTGATAATTTTCTGTGGTTGAAATTTTTCCTTGCCCCAGTTACGTGAAACTCAAAACCCTGTCTAATAATTATCCTTTTTGATTCATTACATAACAGCTGATATGCCACGATGGTATAAAGCAAGAAACTTGGAAAAGTTGGGTTTCGCGTTTTTCAAACACAACATGCGACTAACATGTATTGAAAAAAAAATTATTTGTTAACATTTTCCCTTTTTAAACAATAATCATAAGAAACTATAACATGTCGATTGTGTAATTTTCAGTGCTATTAAAAAAATTTAGGAAAAATGGTCAACTTTGTCAGTTTTTAAAAATTTAAAGTGCGATCCGCGACTAGAAGAAATTAACCAATTTTTAAACCAAAAATTTATCAATTTTCTTATTTTTACATTAGGTTTCTTTTCTGCACTTATTTTAGAAAATAAAACTTTTGGTTTTTTTTCTTCCAATTCACTCTTGGGGATCAGGCTAACGATAAAATTTGAATTTTCGACTTTTGAATAGATTAAAATTGAATTCATCTCCAGGCTAACGAAAAATTTGAATTTTTGCTTGTTACCATTTCATGAGTAAACCAAATCGTGAATATTGATGATGATAAAACATATATCTCTGAGCCTGTTGCTGCAGGGGGAAAAAATAACGGTGAATAAAGTGAATCTTTAAACGTGAAAGATATGCAGCCTTTCCAAATTCATCTCGGAGTTTAAACCAAGAATATCAGAAAGTGTCTGCATGCGATCTATTAATAGAACCAAAATTGATATTGGATTTCGGACCTGAAGGCCCATTTGTGTACTATTGTTGACCTGTCGTTCGATTTCGACAGGTGACAAAATACATCACATACAAAATACATATAACCTTTTATGTTAAATGTGCATTATCCAATATTATAAATATATAATGAATCACTCAATTATTACATTTATTTTAAATATACATTAATCCAATTACAGAAGAAAAATGGTGTGAATCAGTGACTGCAGAAACATATTTTTGCCTTTAAACACTTCCATTGGCAATCTAAATTCCTTGGTAAGAGCATCAATGAACATATTTGGATGCATTGCATAACGCTTTGTTCAGAAGAGATTTCCTCTTGTTCGCACTTTTACGGAATTCGCGATCGCAACGAACTATAGGGGGCGTTGTTGTATGAGACGCATACCTGCGATTTCTATATGAACCGTCATTCAGTTACTCTGGAGACGTCTTTAATGTAGCGTGTAGCATTGTAACGTTCCTTCTTTAATGTGGCTTATTAAATTTAAAAAAGAAAAATG